GAGGTCGACCCAGAGCCCGAGAGCGGCGGGTTGGGAAGAAGGGGGCGGGCCTCCGAGGCGCAGGGAGGAGAAACAGCGGTCGGGGCGCGGAAACCTGGCCCGGGCTGGGCACTTTTCCGGCCTGGTTCTCAACGCCAGCCCACGCGAGAGGAAGGCACTCGGAGGGTTTGGGCGGCAGCGGCACCCTCCCCCCGTGCGTCACCGAGGGACCCGGGCAGCGCAGCACGCGCAGACTGAGAGGCTGGCTAATGCCCGGGGGTGTCCCCGCTTCCCGGTTCGCCTCCCTACGCGGGAGAATGAAAAAGAAACGGCGCTGCGTCGGTGGGTTCGCTTTGCAGCGGGGCGGGCGGGCGCGCTGCCCTTTTCTGCCCTGACTGCAATAATGCATAGATTTCGCAGGGGAGAGAAGCATTTCTTTCTCAGGTTGTTTCGTTTACCGCAGCGTTTCGTTCTGCGCCACGTCGTTTTAGCTCCAGAGAGGAACGATCTCGTCAAGGCTCAGTTGTGGAACACAGGGGTCCAGAAAGGGAGGCGTTTGAGCATGTGCAGAATGCCTTTCCTTTGGCAGAGAATACAGTACAGTTTGCAGAGTATGAGAGCTCTAGCCTGCTGTGTAACGAAGTCATATATTCCAACAACGCTAAGTAGATATATTTTTTTAAAAAATAACTTTTATATTGTTCAAACATTTGGGATGGCGACTCCTCTTACCATGTAATCCTGTCTCTCTTTATTAGATTTGAACAATCTTGGTAGTTTAGGGTCATACTTAGGCAAAATGAGCTTGACTGACCTTAGTTAAACTTAGTTAAACCTCTTGAGTAGACACTACTTGGATTTCAGGGCATTCTTCCAAAAATGAATTGTAAAAGTTCTGTCATTTTACTTCCAAATGGCTTTCAAGGATCAGGTTTTCTATTGCAGTGCCTGTTTACTCTCTCATCCCCCCAGGCAGGTCAGATATTACCAGGCCTGTCTGAAGGGCTGTCCTGAACCAACTTCATCAAACGGTTGTGTTTATTGATTGAAGGGACAGGAAAATTGGCACCAAGTGAACTTGAAAAGAATTGGCTTCTTTCTTTGGGAGAGGCCTCCTATGATTAGGCCTCAAAAAATGTAGCAAAGGAAGTGAAGAGGCGGTACTGTAAAAACACCAAGAAGAAAATACATTAGGCTAAGAAAGCTTTTTTTCTTTTTTAGTGAGATGACCAGGAATCCTCAGTTAAGCAGGTTTGCTCTTCAACTAATAAAAAAATATACCTCAGGCTTTCTGGGAAATCAAGTTTATCTTTTTCATTTTTTGAAGTCGCTCTTGCATTCATTTTAACAGGCACTGATGTTGACTTTCAACTGTGCTTTTACACTGCAGTACATTTCTGCCTAACTTATATCTGTATTTATCTCCAGTAAGCAAGATGACTTCTGAAGAGTTTAAGTCTGGTCTAGCCTGAATTCTGTTGTGTTTATTTTTGCCAATTTATGGGACATGGTTATGTTTTCAGGAAAACCAACCATAAAAATTAGGGGTACCATTACATTTTATTGATTATGGATTCTATTTCATCAGATGCCTGGTGTTGTCTTCTATTGGAGATATGTGTATCATCCATCTACCCATCCATTCATCCTATCAGTGGCTGAGCCCTGACATACTGATCATAATAGCACAGGAACAGGCATAAAACACCAGCTCCATAGAAGCAGAGGTCTACCACAGGACCAGAAGTGGAAGTGCAGACTGCAGACAGGTCTTGGAGACAGTCCAACCCATAACGCCAGAGTGTAAGATACAGGCAGGAACAGCATACATGGAACAGCACAAGTAACTGACCTTGTGTACAGGAATATCTACATAGTGCATGGGCTAGACCCGTGATGGTGAACCTATGGCACGTGTGCCAGAAGTGACACGCAGATCCATTTCTGCCGGCATGTGAGCCGTCACAAATCTACTGCGCATGTGTATATGCCTCCCGCCAGCCAGCTGATTGTCAGGTAGCTGCTATGCATGTGCAGGGGTGGGGTGCATGTGTGGGGGTCACGCGTGCATGCGTAGGGGGTGGGGGTGTTGCACACGCATTGCATTATGGGTACAGGCATGCATGCGCACGTACTTTCAGCATGTGACGAAAAGGTTAGCCATCACTGGGCTAGACCCTCCCAAGTCTAAATGGGAGATTCCACTTAAGGTTTTGGAGAATAAGGTCTAATATTCTGTGGGACGTACACATCCAGACGGCCAAAAGGCCAAAGTAGTCCCAGTGGTGGTAGGAGTGCTCAGGGCTGTGATTCCCAAGCTGGCAGAATGGCTCCAATAGATCCCAGTAACAACATCAGAGCGCCCCGTCCTAAAGAGTACAGTACTAGTAAAAGCTAAGATACTATGTAGGAACAAATTCCCAAGTCTCTAGTAGAGGGCCTGAGATTGAAGAAGACACAGACCACCCATGGGGGGAGGATTTTTTTAAGGAATGCATGTACACACACACACACACCCTTGGTTGCAGAAAGTGCAACTTATAAATATGTTGATTGCCAAAACACCCAAATTTTGATCATGCAACTGTGGGAATGCTGCGACAGCAGTACATGTGAGGACTGGTCCTAGGTTACATTTTCAGTGCTATTGTAACTTCAAATGGTCACTAAATGAAGGACTTGTTGTTAAGGACTTTGTGTACCGGTATATCTAGGTTGTATGCAAAATCCAAATATTTGCAAATTGAAAATTCATCCCAGCAGCAGTTACAATTTTTGACATGTACTTATATTAGCATTTTAAATTTGTACTTCGGTGTTTTGGTATGTTCTCTTTTATAGTTTCTGACTAGAAGTGGAGGAAAATGTAACCAAATTGCGTTCTTACACGAAGGGTAGTATCTTACAGGTCCAATAAAGTCCAAATTAAACAGAACATATTTTCTGATAAATTCTAGTTAATCTATTCCTGGTGGAAAATCCTCTGTAAAATGATTTTGCTGAAGCATAGCAACTTGTGTGTTAGCAGAAGTATTTTGTCACCGGTTTCAGAATATTGCTTTTCTTAATGTAAGAAATTGTGCTCATTCTTTTGCACAAGCCTAATTTGTCTTCTGGGAACAAGCAGAACCTTATTGGCCACTGATGGCATACGGACGTTGCAATACTGTAATAGCATAGGCTCAGTCCTACCATTGTGCAGAGGGAAGCAGCTATTTTGGGTGGTAGGAGCTAGGAAACAACTATGAGACAGAGGTTGGGACTGGCCATCTTGTAACCTACCTTGAATCCCTGGGCTCAGCAATTCTATGAATTACATTCTACCATCACTGCTGAGATTTGAGGGATCATGATATGGAAAAAAGATACACCATTTTGGTTTTTGTCATAGGCAAGCTTAAATATTTCTCATGATACAACCACTGATCAGTGATTAGTTCATTTGCCACTGACAAGTCAAAGAGAAATTGAACTAAAACAACTTTATTAAAGTTGTATGTCTCTCACTCAACAGACTGTAAAAATGGGATCGTTAGATGGCAGAGAAGGGAATCATTTTGTCATCTAAAGGCCCAGCAAGACAGGCAAAACGTTGTCAGAAGATGAGAACCAAATTTGATTTTATTAGTTTTTAAAAAGAAACGACTGTATTGCCTGAATAAAAAAATAACTTCAATGACTTCAATATCTGGCTGGTGATTTATATAAGCAGGCAAATGAACTCCTAATATGCAGTTGATAATATTGGGTGCTGACAGTGTTATCTGGATGGAAATGAGCACAGAAGTGATGTATTTAAGGATGAATGATTTATATATTCTTATAGAGAGCTTATGTACCTAGAATTTATCAAAATGAAAGTGGCATACTTTTCCCTCCCAACTGTTATGAACTGAAGTTACAAATTTTGCTAAACCAAAATTTGTTTTCCAAATTACAGTGGTCTAGTTCAGAGTTCCCAAATCTTTCTGGCTTGGTGGAGTGGCAGGGGGGAAAGGAGATGGTTTCGTGTGAGTGGTGGGCAAGCACACGTTCGTGCAAATTGACTATGTGGGCATGTGCTCACCCACTGCTCGTGCAACGGGGGGTGCATGCGCACTCACCCACCACTTTTGCTGTCCGGTTCTGCATGCTTAAGGCCCAGTAATGGGCCGCCGTCCGGGGACCCCTGGTCTAGTTCACACACTACACTTTGTCAAAACCCAACAAACCACATTGTGGCCAAATATACTGGGTAAACCAGCTTATTGACTGCTATAGCTATAATGCCAAATGAATATGTACAGATGCCATAAAATCTAGTTTTCGTAGCAATGTTATAGAAGTCCTTTGCCTTGGGGAAGGGGCTGGTCTTCCCAGCATAATCCTGAAAGTCTTAAGATCCTAAATCTTCTATCCAAGAACTGACCAAGGGTACATAGCTTTCAAGACCATCCAAAGTCAGGTATTTTATTGGAAGCCCCTTAGAGTCACATGTTTAAAGGTGGCTACATATATTAAATAATATAAATAAATAGAATTTCTGCTGCTGCTGCTTGCTGGGGCTTTCCTGTATATTTATATGAACATATCCATGCATATTTTCTTGTATGATATAAAATGTGGCTTGCCACTGCCTTTTATGAGGAGTTTTTTCCCCAACTGCTATCTAGTTGGGTGTTAATGCCGCTGTTTCTTATACTGCAGCTAATAGGCCACTGTAGGGATGAGAAATTATTGCCTTAATTAATATTCCATTAAGGGCTCATCATCTCCCATTGTCTTCAAGGCCTCCCTTCCTGTCTAGTAGGGAAGAAGCCTGCAAGGTTAGAAGCAGTAAAAGATAAAGCTGCTCTAAAGCAGCATCTATAATAGGAAGATAAAACATATTCTTGAGACAAGGCTGATGTCCTCTGAGCAGAGGTTTGGTGACTTCCGGTACTGCAAACCCCAAGCATATTTACGCATATGGTCGGTGCTCGTGATCTGTTTTATCGTTCCGGCAGTAGAAGCCACAGAAGAATTCATAAGTATGCACTTGTGGGTTTTGGATTTTTTATTATAAAAAAACAGTATTTATCCCACTCATTAAAATCACATTCAAAAATCGGCAAAAAATCCATAATAATAACCCAGAGAAACAAACCAGAGATCAATATTTACAGACACTGCAGGGACAGGGTTTTTTATTCCACCTCTTCTTGGAAGGAAGGGGGGAAATCAGATGGCAGAACAGGCAAAATTCATCACATGGGGGGGGGGAGGGGGCATGCAGCAGAGGCAATTGCATGCGCTTGGGGCATGAAACCTGACCCCCAACTGAAAGCCGTCCACCCCAACCCCCCTTAATTGCAAATGAAAGGAGGAAGGCGGATACAGGGGCAATTCGACCTGAGATTTCTCACCATCCTGTGGGAGAAATCATAACGCTTGGGTGGGAAGGTGGGAGGGGGCTTGAAAGGGAACACTGTTTAATACAAGGCATACCGGAAAAGGGGAGACGAGCAGGCTTAGCTTTTCAAACCAACCTGGTCCCTTGGCACAAATTTATTTACAGAATCCTTCAGACACTTGGGAGTTGGCACAAAGCCTTGATCAGGCTGTTTTCAGCTACTGCAGTCCAGCTCTAGCCTCAAGAGGCCCCGAAATGTGGCTCGGGCAGCTCCAAATCACTTTTGGCATGAAAACCATTGCCCCTGCCTCTTTCCACAGCAAAGCAGCATAAGTTTTGGCAGTGGAGACAGCAGAAACGGGGGCAATTCTCACCTGACTTCAAAGAAAAGAGTTGGAGGCATTAATATATTCTGGGCAAGACAAACACGGGTCTCTCCAGATCTCTCCTGGGGTCACAGGGAGCACAACTTCATCTCTGCTAACAGGAACAGGCACAAGACCATCTTGAAATTTGGCACCATTGATTGAGAATGCCTGTTCAGGCCTGGAATAGCAAAGGATTTCAGTTCCTAAGGCTGCTGCTGAAGCAGCAGCTGCTGTCCTGGGTTGGAAATATCAGATTTGGAATGGTGAATGGTAGAATAAGAAGGTAATAGTAAGGATTAAGGACCTGGACAGAGCACTGGGAAAGAACAGGGCTACATTTTTATTAGGAGTTCCTATTACTGTGTAATTGTTTAAAGGCCAGACCTCATTCCCAGCCTGGAGTGGAACCCCATCCAATCCTGAAAGAGATGCTTAATGCCACCCTACCCAAAACTCGGGATAGGTGAAGATGCATTCTTCAGATCTCTCTGGCAAGAACTAAGATAGATTTCTTCAGGATCTACTGTAGAACCCTTGTCAAGAGTTCGGTATGGGAAGGAAAAGGGTCTGAATTTCAGATTGCCTTGTGGATTTCTCCTCATTTCTGCTAGCGTTAAAGAGGACTTATTTTAAGACAATGTACATTCCCAAAATGCCATGTCAACAAGGCCCAAGCTAGCAGGATCTGTGGTATACCTCATGTATACTTTAGCACACATCTGGCACCACAATGAGAAAGTAGGAAGGAACTGCTCAAGATGCTTGGCACACTTCAGATTTCCTTCTGTTGGTCCTATTTAGGGGCAAGGCCTTAATTTCAGCCTTTCTCAGTAGGGAATGAGTAGATTCTTATCCACCTTATCAATCTCCTACCCCTGGAATGGGTATTGATCCCCATGTGCAGAGGGGATAGGGGAGGAGGGAACCTGTCCCACGCTTTCTGAATACCCCCACCCCCTCATTGTATCCCTGGGGGTTGGGTGGACATCACAATGATCAGCAAGAAGAGACAGAAGAGAGGGTGGGGATGGTGGGCAAATCCAGCTGAATAAATTAAGGATGGGAAATGAAGTCAAGGAAGGTCAGAGGCCATTGGTACTACTGCTGCTGCGCTGAATCAGTGGGACCTTGCTTAGCTCTACCACTGGAGAGCGTGGCTTATGTTTCATTTTGGGTACCCTCTGCAGCAGCTGTTGAGCTTCTTGATAAGCATCACGCAGCTCCTTCTTCCACTGCACCAGCTCAGGATCGCTCTGAGAGAAAAAGAAGATGTATTAACAGAGAAGCACAAGAAAGACATATTCCAAAACAATAGCAATAGTTGCACGGAGGGAGGGAAGAGAGAAATTATATTTCATCATTGGTCTTATTCACCCTGTGAGTATGGTGACAATCTGATCCAGAGCCCTTATTACAAATAAATTTGTTTCTTTAAAAAGAATATTTGCTGTAAGGAGTCAGCAATATGCTCACTAGATATTTTAGACTGCAACTTCCATCAAACATGGACAGTGGTTAGGACACATACTTCAATACCACTTATAATCCATTTAAGCTGAACTCGCAAAAAATTACACTTTAACATGCATTAAGACTCTTGAGCTGTTGACCCAAATCAGCGAATACATCCTTCCTTTAAAAATTTAGATATAAATGATTAAAGCTTCCAGGGATTCCCTTAGTGCTTAGCACCATGTCTCTCTGCCAGCTATTAGCCTCCTGTTTTCTCCCAGGAGAGGAGAGCAACTGGAGAGAGAGAATTTCTGACCCTAACAGCATAGTCCTGGTCCCAGAGGATCCACTTATTATTTGCCCTGAATGCTTTTTAATGCCCACATACTCTGCAGTGTATGGAACCTGCAAATTGCAAAACCATTTTGGTTACAAACATTTGGGATATTATAAAGCAAGATAAACTCCTTCTAGATATCCACGGAAAGCAACAAGACAGAATTGCTTAGCTTTGTTTCCCTAGCTAGTATTTTTCTAGAGAGAATGTAAATGTGGCTTTTAGGGACTGGGGAATATCTACAACTTATTGCCTCCCAATATTGAAATATAAGCTGCTTCTGATCCTCTGGATTTATAAACTAGACAATAATTGCGCAAATGCAGTTAAGCTGTACTTGAAAACTTAATAGGCACAGATTATTCTGAGAAGCATTTGCCAAGCATACATGACCACTAAAACAATTCACTGTTCAAGTCACTTTTTCCATAAACTAAGAAGAGATCCTGTCCTAGTCTCTAAGAGCAAATAATGGGGATTTTAAAGAACCACAATTTTTAAAAAGGAACACAGAGTGAATCTAGAGTGAAACAGGAAGAACAGGATGCAAAATAATTTCAACTTGCCTAGTTTTGCTCTTTTTCTATTTTGTATGGAATAGAAAATTAACATCTTTCTTAGACAGATACCAAAGTTGAGCTTCACAAAAGATTTAAATTGACCATCAAGAAAAATTTCTTAGGAGAGACTATATGAGAGGAGAAAATCAAAACAAACTTACATCACACTGCAGAACAAATTGCTTGCCTCCCCGGATCTTAAGCAGAATGCATTTTCGATCTTTTACTTGTGTCTCCTCCACTGACTGGATCTCTTCCATAGTGAGCAGGGACTGCTATAATGCCCCACAACAAACATTTGATTAATGAAAACAATTTCCAACATATATCTTAAATATTCATCTTTAACCTATATCTAAAGAGTCCTCTTCGACCGGTGCTGTGCTATGGCCTTAAACACACACAAATGTGTGCTTACCTCTGAGTGCTATATCTCCCTAAACACACACAAACTAATATTGAATTCTTCCAACCATGTATGACAAGTCTTCATACAACCCCAAATCTGATATTCTATCTTTCCCATCCTCTGGAAAAAAGCTTGTTCCTTACCGGAGATTCTCCCTCTCCACGCCACTCCAAGCGATTTGGGAAGAGGTAGAAGTATCGCCTCTGCCACTGAGTAAGGAAAGGATTCCCTAGTTTTGACATATAGCCATGCATGATGCAGTCTTTGCCCAAAGCATAATCTGTACAAAATAAGTGAAGATAACAACATGAAGGCTAACAAAAAGGTGTTATAGGGAGCAGAATGGGACTAGTACCAATGAATCCAGACAGCCTTCCCACACTAAAAACAGGGAAGAAACACCAAGTTTTCAAAAGCAAATTCTTGCGGAATAAGCCTCAGTTTTGGCAAAGGGGTTTCTCATACAGAACAGCAACAAGGCTCACCTTCCTCATGGCCCAACTGCTTGTTCTTTGCTCTTTTGCGGGCCTCCAGCTTGTCAGTCTCAGCATTGACCGTATCAAAGACAGTCTCTGTCACCTCCTGCTGCCAGCGCTCTGAGATGGTGAGCGGAAAGTTGCGATAGAGCTCTTGGTCACTATCCAGTAGCTGGGAGGAGAAGAGCATGCTATGTCATTATGTCTCCAGGAAGAGAGGAAAGCATTCCGCTGGGTTTCAGCTGCTGAAACAGCAGCACAAGAGTTCTACTGGATATCCCACAACAGTCTTTCAGTTAGTTTCAACAGCATTCTGATGTTCTGTTTGGACTTTTGGAATAAGGCCTATTGTTTTCTCTTTGACAGTGTTATTTGCTCCAGCTCTGCTCCTTCTATTAGAATTCACAGCTTGCACAATTCCTTGTCGTTATTTCAGAACCCATCCTTTCTACTACATCCTAATTTCCCCAGCACTTTTCCCAACTAAGAACATATTCAGTAGTGGGATCCTACCTTAGTTGCTACCAGTTCGGTGGGTGATTGCGCGTGCGCATGCGCCCCTAACAATCCAATCAACTGAGAGGATGAAGAAAGGAAAAGCTAGGAGCGACCTTCCCACCCTCCCATGCGCTTTTTGGTCTTTTATTCTCTCAGCTGATTGTTGGAGGCTTTTCTTTCCTCCTCTCAGCTGATCGGAGGCCTTTTTTTTTTTTAACTATATGTAAATTCAACATGTTCGAGTTTTGTTTTTTGAAGAAAAATGGGATATCAATTTTAAAAGAGAAATTCTCATAACACAAAAGAAAATTGCAGCTACTCAGCAGAGGGCACCATAATTCTGGGGGATTGTCCTTGAGTACCTTAATTCCTTTGGTGTCTTCTTCATCAAATGAGCCAATGTCAAAAGCATCTGCTGCATTTACCTCCCCACGTGGTGGAATCAAAGGTGGAGGATACTACAAAGATACAATGAAATAAAGTTGGCAAAGAGCAGAATGCTGTACCTTTTCATTTTTTCCACATCATAGTGCCCAAATATGTGTTATTTTCTTTCCCATTAGCCTTTCAACTAGGGCTCCCCTCACCTTCTGGAGAAAAACCATCTGCCAGTCCACACCCTGGAAAAATGGATTCTCCTTGATTTCAAGTGACCTAATGAAAATATAGAAGAGGTAACAGTGATCACCTTTGACTTTGCAATAGCTGGAACTAAAAGGCAGGGGATAAAAAATTTGAGCTATGATGACCTTTATGAACAGAAAATATAATTTATCATGTTTATGTATTTTTATAATCAGTGAGGAATTCCATTAGTGTGGCATTTCAATTTTTAATTTAAACCTTGAAAGAATTCAGGTAAATCTAACTACAACAACATCTGTGGACTGTTATCTTCTACTGGAATGCCCAATTTGCTCAGAAAAGAACATGTGTCTATTGCTACCGTTAGAAAACTAAAAATGCTGCTTAAAATTTCAGAAACTAGAGAAGTAACTGAACAAAACTTTGAATGGCTTTGGAGGTAGAGGAAGGGAAGTGAAACTATTACTCCGTGGACTCTTTTTCCTTTCTGATGATTAGCAAATACAGAGGAGGAGGCCACCAAATAAAACTCCAAGATAAAATATGCAAACATTCTAAATTTGCATAGTATATGATAACATTTATTGTACCAAAATCTGGATGATCAGGCCACAGAAATTATTAGCAGGGTATGCAATTAATGAACAATACGTGTAACATTAATCCTAAGAGGCATGCATAGAAAAGAGCCCACTTCATCAGATGAAAGTAAAGGTTTGGTTCATCCTTAAGGACTTTATGTATTTATCTAGAGACTACATTGTATCTTATAGTAATTAGAGAAGAAAAGAAATAAATTGAATAATGCATTATTTTATGAAATGGTAAATGAACCATAATAAAATGCAAAAAACAAGAATTGCTGGTTGATCTTTTATTACTTGGGGGAAATGTTTTTAAAAACAATAGCACTTCATGTTTTCAAATTACAGTAGCTATTTATTATTCTGAAAATCTTTTAGATTTCAATCTTGATCTATATTCAATGCTAATCAGAAATCATGAAAATAAAATCCTTATTATAAGAAAACAATATTTCTGAAGTTTACATAACACTGATGTGTTTTCCTGGTACACCCATGCTACAAGGTCATCTATGCTGATTTATCAGAGTGTGTCTTGAATTTGCAACTGAGGAATGGAGAAAATTGGCAGCCTTGAAAACCAAGGCAGCAGTCAAGATACTGGGGAATGTTTTTATGAAGCTGGTTCTGTTAACATTAACTTCCAAGTTTTGAAGTTTTGTTCATATTGTCTTTACGCAATAGATCCAGAAAATATGTTTTGATAATCAAGGATATGGAAAAAATACATTTTTTGCAAGTTTTTGTTTTTCTTAAATAAGAAGTGAAGGAATTGTTCTCATCTGACTTCCAAACCCAACTCTATTCTATGTAGAACTTTTTCTAGAACTGAACCTTAAACTCTGGCCCATTCTGACATTCCTCTACATCTCCTATAGTCCTTCAGCACCTTGGCAGGACACTCACCCACGACCCATACAGCCCAGCCGACGGTTGACATCTCTCTGTAACAGTCCCTCCAACAAAGAGCGTAGCTCAGGTGAAAAGGAGTCTGGGAGCTCCACAGCCTGTTGAAAAAGGAGGACAGGTTTTAGCTAAAAGATGAGCGATTGAAGAGGTCAGAGGAAACCAAGCAGATATATCTTAATTCCTTCAACCTTTGGAAGCATTATTTGTTATTCACTCAGGCTATCAGAAAAGACAATGTTCCCCATTCCAAGACTGGGTGATTCCACAGAAATAGTGAATAACTTGGGTCTGACAGCAATGACATCTTAATTCTAGAAGGAAAGGAAGAATAATAATATGCAACCCCCAAAATCACATGCAATCAGTCTCATTTCATTTCACACAGCCCTCAGCATTATTCTGCTGCTTGAAAACAACAGACCCACTGGGAATTACTTTCACTTCTATCCTGTGCTCGCATATGTTTCTGCAAGAGTAAAATGGGTTCAAATGCAATGGAATAGTAAAGAGGAAGGAGAGCTGAATAATTTTGTAGAATCTACCTATTTATAACTGTGGTTTTGCCCTCTATCAACAGTGGCCAGAGGGTTGTTTCTGTGTCAAGAAATTTTCAGAGGAACAAGGCTCCCTATCTCTGTGTATAAATCCTCAGATAATTATGATGATAATACATAAACCATGGACATTGCAAAACCTGAAGACAGCAAATTAGAGAAAAAAACTGGAGAAAAATCACAAAGACCTGCAAATAGCAGTAGAATAACTGTGGCAACAGAAAGCAATGATAGCACCAATAGCGATTGGTGCCTTGGGTGTAATTTCAGATCTGGAGCACCCATTGAACACCATCAGCATTGACCAAATCAGCATCAGTCAATTTCAAAAGGCAGTTTTACTTGGAACAGCTTACACTATGTGACAATACTTTTAATATTATTAAACCATAACATCAGCCTATCCCAAACCCTTGGGAAGAACTCAATAACTGAATAAAAATGTCAAATCCAATCTAAACATGTGGCTAAACGCGCAAACAACCATAATGATAATAATAAACTTGCATGTTGCCTGACTCTCAATGGCTGTGAGTAGTTATTAGTTGTTAACAATTAATCAGTGGAACAACTTGCCTCCAGAAGTTGTGAATGCTCCAACACTGGAAGTTTTAAAAAAGAGATTGTCTGAAGTGGTGTAGGGTTTCCTGCCTAAGCAGGGGGTTGGACTAGAAGATCTCCAAGGTCCCTTCCAACTCTGCTGTTCTATTCTATTCTATTCTATTCTATTCTATTCTATTCTATTCTATTCTATTCTATTCTATTCTAATTATTGGATATTATCAGCAGAGGTAAAAAGTTTTTTTTAACTACTGCCATTTTATTGAAATGTTTATTGGCTCCCTATTAGAGCTACTTTGTTTTCCGAATCACTTCATACAATTCAACAGATTCTTGCAAACATCTTACAGATCTTTATCCAAGCTTTTCACAATCTGATTACTTCCAGATGAAATAGGATTATAATAAACAAAATGCTTACTTGGAAATCACTTGTGGATTTTGTGCTCCAGGTGGGGGAAATAATGAAACTTGGACTTTGGGGTTTGCTGATTAGATACCTTTGCTATTATAGAAATGGCTAGTATATATCAATACATATCATTTAATGGAAGAAATTGAGCTGTACTGTTACTACTAACTGTTACTGTGCTAAAGAGTCGGAAATTAATGTTTTTCTTTTGTTTTTTCCCTTTCACCCTACACTCTTCTCTTTTTCCTCCTCCATTTTCCATTCTTTTCCCTTTCGTATTTTATATCTTGATAAACCTAATAAAATTATTATTAAAATTGTCAAATGGCTATGTGATGTTACAAAGATGTTATAAGTTACCAATGGCTCCCTTAAGTTATTTATGGCTTACATAAATGCACCAATGCTGGAGGACAACAGCTATGATCCTAGTGCCATCTGGATAACATCAAGTTGAGGAAAATTACCGGTACTCAACAAGTCAAACTCCAAGGTTAATTTACAGATCACTCCCCCCTGAGCATGCCCAGTTCAGTTACTCAGTTTGTTTTATTTCATAGATCACTTAATTACACAGCTCAATTTAACTGGAGGTTCATCAACATTGAAATCAAAATATAACTTGTCCTCCTGGTTTCATACTTGATAAATCATTTCTAAATATCCTGGGTGTATTTATACATCATATGTGCCTTCTAATTAGTGGGATGCAGACAACTGTATGTTAATATTAAAGAGAGTCTTTTCATTGGAGAGACCAAACTTTCCCAGCATAGAGTGAACACATTTAAATTAAAACTGTGTTTTGGTTCTGCTTGTGGCAAAAGGTGGACAAACCAATCAGTACCAGCCTTATTAGCAGGGAATGCTGTAAATGACACATGCGTAAGACTGGTAACCAACTTTACACATTTTCTATCCCACTCAAACATTTTATACGAAAGTCTTAATTAGGTAACGCCATGATAGGCAATGGAGGTCTGTATTAGCAGTTGAGAGAAAAATACATTTAAAATAGCTATAAAAATGAGGATAATATAAAGGGTTTAAATAGTTAAAAAGAGAGAGAAAATGAGTGATTTTGATACACTAATTTATTATTTGATTTGAAATAACATAAAAATGGGAGCCATTGGTAACTTATAACATATAACTAATATACACTGCACTGATTACAATAATGAACAAAATTAAAAAAATAAATAAACTGATAAAATAACTTGGGTTAAGACTGAAGTAAGTCAGTGCTGTAAAAATATTCAAAGTTCTCTATGGAAGATAACGATATGCTGAAGAATGGAATTGCTACAAATTCTATAAATATTAGCATCCAAGCAAAACTGATGCATAAAAAATCCTTTGTACTGTGAGAAGGTTGAAAAAGGCTGCATGTGATGTAATTGAAAAAGTACTAAAATATGGATGTGGAGTACAGCTTATTTAATGTGTGAGAACTCCATCTGGGCCTGACAATTGAAAAATGCTTTCATTGTCCTCTACAAAAGGATAGCAAGCAACAGTGAATATGAAAAGTACAAAAGGATTAATCTATTGGAAAGATGTTTGGCAGAATTTTGATTGAAGAGGTGTGACAGATGATAATGTTCTTTTTAATCTTTTTTTCTTTCTTGTACTGTTTCTTATTCATTTTCTGTATTTTGCGTAACATTACGAGATGCCAAAAGAAGATAGCATGATATGTGTATATATTTGTATATATGGCCTTTCCAATGTCAGCACTTAAAGGTTACCCAATTAAAATGACTAGCAGTAATTTCAGAAATGCTGAAAGTCAATTCTATTTCATCTAACCAGAAACAAACACTTTGACAACGGTTCGATCACTTTCAAAGAGACACATTTAAGAACAAATGTATTCAATCAAGAGAAGTAAGAATCAATCTTTAAATTAAAAAAGGGTAGAAGTTTGAACACCAGTTCCTAAGGAAGGGGGCAACAATATTGAGATTTTCTTCCCTAGTTTTCTCCTCAAAAACTGGGTGCTGCACTAGGTGGACTTTGAATTGTTCCAGAAAGGCCTGCTTTACACACTGAAGACCCTTTGATAATTTTATATTGGTGTTTTTTATCGGCATGTTAGTATTGGCTTCCCAAATAGCTTCCAATTCCATTATCGCATGAAGTAGATGCTCGTGTAAAAAAAAATCACTATTAAAAAAGCCCCACAGCCCTTTAAATTTTTCGGAATTACAGTGACAGATAAAAGGGAAGTAGCATTCAACTATCAATCTGGCTGAGTCATCTTGTCTTTTTCCTCAAATAGTAAAGTGTCTTGAGGTAGCCCTAAGCACCACAACCTCTTCCTTCATTTCCCCCATTTCTTATTTCAGGTTTGACTGCTGTTTCTGTACTAACCAAAATGGAGGTATTGTTAGGCTTGGGGGAATCCCAAACTTAAAAAAATAAGTCCAGATTGTCATGAAACCAAAGGGGAAACTATAGAGCTCAGCATAACTGGCTGATTAATAATGCACAACTGCACTCCATCACATTGAATTTTGTTTGTGGCCCTACTTACTTAAAACACATTGTTTTAATTTTGCTATTTAGATTATTGTTGAAAATCAAGAATGTTTTGTATTCTTGATTCTCAATCCTTCTGTGTGATGAGGCCGTCTTATTTCCAGTTTTCTAAGGGACAGTGTAATTGTCTACTGAATTTTGAGAGCTACAGCAAGGAGAACTTATATTCAGGCTTCATAGGTCTTAATTACACTTGCCTTGTGTAAAACTGAAACTCCTAGACTTGGTAAATGAATTGTGATGAGGTAGTGGAAGAGAATTTTAGGTTAAATACTTTACCAAAATACTGACTGATAGTGGAATTATTTTCAAACAAATGCCTGGACAGATATTCAAGTGAGCTATCGCTTGATAAAGCTATCAAGTAGACACACAGTATAGCAGTAGGAGAATCCAGTGGTTGACCTCTGCAAGGATTCCAATATATCCTTTGAGGGGAGGACTGGTTCAATAAGGAGGACAGAGATCATTTTTACAGAACAAAGGGAGGGACAAATTCATATTCTTTGAAGATGGGAATCAAAGCTTACCCCTTACTAAATTTAATAAACAAAATCACTTACCATAGTGAGTGTCATGCGATCAATCTCATGTTTGTCTTTAGTCTTGTGCTGTCGAAAAGGGCTATGCCTGTGTAAGACCAAGCAGAATGTCAAAGGAAAATTGAGGTAATTTCTTTCCTACTCTCTTGTACACCTTGTGCCAATTACTCCAATCAACCCCAGCTTCTCCAGCCAGTTACAGCTCTTTTGAATGATTAAGTTTCCACATACTGCACTTTCTCAGCATATTCGGCCACTTACCCCCTCAGAAGTTTGAAGAGCATGCAGCCTAAAGAAAACCAATCAGCACTGCTGTCATAGGCCACACCTTTCTGCAAAACCTCTGGTGCCATGTACCCATGTGTGCCACTGTAGAGAGGATCACACCAAGAATTAGAAGGAGCATTAGGCTAAAGATCCTTAGAAGGATGTATCAAAGGAAAACAGAATTTATCCTACTTTTCTATCAGAGATTTGCACTGCATTTCCCCCCCTCCCCCTATTTTACCTGGTTTGTAAATCGAAGTAATTATTAATTCCTCCTTGCATCACATTTAAAAATTGTAAACATGATATGTGGGAGTATGTTTAAATACATTCTTAATGGAAGTGGTTTCAAATAGATAATCTGCTGTCAATACCAAAATATATAATTACATGTGTAGGTGAATACAAGGTTTAATCACCAACACTCTGGGAACATCCTTTTACCTTATAATTTAAAAGCAGAAAATGCAAAAGGTGGACTCCATGTATGCAATCAGGAGATTGGAATGTTGTGATCTGTTGATCCATGTTATCAGTTTGTGTGTGTGTGTGTGTGTGTGTATGTGTATTCATATTCTCTCCCTCCTTCTCCCTCTCTCCATTATGCACAGTTCATATATAAATGATGGACACATTCAGCTATATAAGCATCTTGGAATGATATTATTCCCTATCACAGTTTAAGTATGATATGTCATGCCCTTGTCGGAGTCTGATTCTGAGGGGGAGATTGAGGAGCTGACAGGGAGTGGGAGTGTGGCTCCGGTGGCTGTGAAAGAAATGGGGGAAGGGCACAGTCCGACTGGGCATTCAGAGGAAGACCCAGGGCCACCCCCTCTTCATCCTAGGGCATGCAGGGAGGAACAGAGAAGGGAGTAACGTGGCTTACAGGAGAGAAAAAGGCCTGATCCCTTTCATTAGCTGCAGTTGGGAGAACAGGATATAAGAAGGGTGTTTGCACACAGCACCTTGATGGAAGCAAAGCATGCATTATCTCGGTCAAGGCTTATCTGGGTGTTGGCGTCCTCCCAACTGTGTGTGCTTCATTATCGTTGGGAAGTCTGCAATTTATTATCCTGGTCTGTCGTGTTAATTACTTCAGCATGGTTTGTGTTGGGTTTTTTATTTATATCTGTACTTTGGGTTCAGACTGCATTTCTTCCCTTTGTAGACTGTTTTTAGAAGAGTTTGATCTCCAGCCAAGGATAACTGGACACTGGGGGCCAGTTGAAGGCATTAAAGGGACTTTACCTATTTTTGTGACTTTGTTGCTTTTGTGCCACACCCCAGGTCATCACATGAACTTTTTGAGAAGTGAGGCAAAATGTTTCAAATTTTCCAGATAGTTTGAAGTAACCCTAACTAATAAACTAGCTAATGGGGGTGATGGACACTTAAATCTTAAGTATCTGGAGGTCACAATAACACAATAAAATTAATCGTATCTAGCATTTCTGGGCAAAAAAGGATATTTCTTTTAGAGACTCACACACTGGCATGAGGCTTCTTCTTGGAGAAATCACAGGCGAGTCCCAAATCTGAGATGCGGACATGACCAAATTCATCTAGCAAGATGTTGGCTGGCTGTAGGGACAGAGCACCATTTAACAAAGTAAGTGTTTTATTTTTATTTCTTGGACTCCAGAGTGCTGCTGTGGAAATGGTGATGAAAGAAGGCAAGCAAGCCCAGCCTATTGAAACTCTCCTCCCTCATGCTGTGACCCCGAGCCTCTGCAACAGCACTTTGGTAAGTGCTAAAGGTAAATCTCTGCAGGAGAACTGAAGAAGCGTTTTCCGAATGATGAATTTAGCTCCCACAGTAGTTAGATTAGGTTTACAGAGGAGCACAATCAAGTTATAATATACAAAACAAGCAACAAAACATGATCTCATCCTACTTTATATGAAACATTAGTTCTGATTCAAAAAATGGATATCAATTATTTTAATAATTCAAACTACTTAGAACAGGAATGTGAGGTTCTATGGAACATTAAGATTTTAGAACATTGCTTTAATTTATTCAATAAAAGAATTCACACAGTAATCAAACTTCCATTTTCTAAAGGAGACATCAGTGTTCTCTGATCACAAGTCCCTCAGTCATATGTTGGCTCCTGAATAGGAGGTGGAAGAAATACGAATGCACTGAGTAAACTACCTTTTTCTCAGAGAGGAATGAGATATTGAAGCCTCACCACTGAATACCAGCAATCTACTCCCTTTGTGAAATAAAGCCAGTAATGGTGATGGTGGCTCTGCTGGACCCCTATACAGCAGTGGGATTGGTTAGAAGAGGTAGGTAGTCTCACCTTGAGGTCACGATAAACCACAAAACGATTGTGCATGTGTTCCAGACCCAGAATGATCTCTGCTGCATAGAAACGCATCTCTATCTCCGAGAAGACCCCATGCTGGGAGAGGTGATAATGTAGATCACCCCCTGCAAGGAGGAAAGGAAAGAACTATGTGATGGAACAAGACATAGTCGGGGGTGGGAGTCATTTAGGAAAGCACATGAGGATAGCAGAGAAGAAGGGGCTCTTAGAGGCAGGATCCTGGCTCTCACCATTCATGAGGTCCAGGATGAAGCTGAGCTTGTCGGGAGTTTGGAAGGCATATGACATGCACACGATGAAGGGGCAATCCTGGCAGGGATCCAAAGAACAAAGTTACAACAGAAAAAAACCCAACAACAACCAAGAAACTGCATGCATGCACACAGCATATATTGATCGATACGTTTCAGCTCACACTCTCATGCAGTTTGCCTCTGGCATCTTTGCTGTACATTCTACAATCTAATACATCCTGTGTTCACACTTATTACCCAACTCATTCAACTGCACACACTTACGCTTGCTTCTTACAATCTTGTGACAACGAATTGTGTAATCACTCAGTTTCCAGCCTCACGAACTAGTGCTACCTCTTGTATTGACCCTATAGTCTACAATTTCTTCAGCGTACCCTGCACCAATACCTACACAATACATAGTAACCTTCCTTGCTTTTCCACAACCCCATCCTGGAAACACTTGTAGGTATTTTCCTCCGGTTTTTCTTACATGCTAAGAAACCACCCTGCCCTTCTTTCTTTCTTCAGTATACTCCATACACAACACATACTCTCCTCTAATTTTCAGACATGCTGCACGGCACCTCTTATTCTTTCTGACATAAATGTTGCAGCATACATGCATGCCGTCTTTGCTGCTAGGTTACACTCCCAGTATCAAATCAACACTACCTCCTTTACATATCTTCTTCCTTCTCTATGTCAGGTGGGTTCAGCAAAATATTTATTTCACCCAGGCCAGCTTTGAATTCAAGCCCCCAAACTGTCACTTGGAACGTTTTTAGATTTTTCCTTCTGCCCACCAATAAAACTTATATGGTGTAGATTCGGAGCTTATGCATTCTTTCCACTTCTCCCAATTCCTCACAGAGTAGCCAAGCTCACCCCAGTGCTGACAAGAGACAGCATAATGCGTTCATTCAGAGCCAATGTCTCCCCCTGCTTCATCTTAATACGCTTCTTATCTAGACACTTCATGGCGTACCTATCAAGAAACAGAAGAGGTCAGAAACGGAATGATCAGAGTGTTAAATTTTTGCCAAAAGTATCTGATGATGCTCCTATCTATGAAATCACCCCTGCAGATCTCCCTCCAAACATAACCATGTGACAGTACTTCCAATGAAGCTCATAATGTCCTTATCATGTTCTTTCTGAATAGAAACTTGTCCTCCCATTTAGGAACTTCAGATATTTAAAATGAAAACATATTCTCCCTGATTACAGATGCCACTACATTATCCTATGTTTTCCAAGCTTTCCTTTTATCTCCATAACAACCCTAAACAATAACTGTCCAGCTTGCCAACAATTGGGAAAACTCTTTGGTAATTTTCCTACTGGCTCACACTCAGGATGTGGAAGGGAGGGAAAGCAGTCAGTTTCTTTTTGCCTTATATTTGGCCAGACAGGACAATAACTGAATTAACTTGTTTAGAGGAGGGACATTTTCCAAGGCAGCAATAAGGAAGCACATGATCAAGTCCACAAGGGATGCATTGTAGAGAAAATGTAAAGGTTTTAAAGGAAGCTGGAATTTTCTTAAATTAGTGATGTTTATGCTTCCTTAGTCACTGACCAGTTTACACGTGTTATCGCATAAATAAGATTACAAAAATATATATTATGTCATCAATTTACTCTTTTGCCACTGAGGAACAATAGAAAGAAATCAATTTTAATGAAGTCCAACTATAAGGAAGAACAGCAATCATGATTTATTTGCCCAAGGCCTGCTGCAAAACCCTGGAGGGTTGGGCCCATATGGATTTCACCAAAAATAGGCAGATTGGGATTTGCCTTTAATTAAGTTGCTGCATTCTGAATCAGCTGAGGCATTCTGAGGCATCTTAAAAGACAGTACCACGTAGAGTGCATTACAATAGTTTGAGAGATAAACAAGACAAAAGTTACTGTGAGAAGGCAAAGCACTTCCTTGAATCCTGCAAGCCAACATAATAGAAGGCAATTATTGTTCATCTTAAAGCTAGCAATATGCATATCTGGGACCAGCATATTTCTCTTATCCTGCAGAATTCTCTTTATGGCCATTCAACTTGAAAGGAAGTATTATGTGGCTAATGGATGAGAAGCATAACCTTGTGGGGGAAATGTCTGAAGGATCTCCATCTGAATCTATACTTGTTATTCTTATTTTGTATCTTGTTCAACTGGTTCTGCTGCTTGTCTTCATTTTAATTATAAGAGATGTGCATAAAACAGCTGGTCTCCCTTTAACCCGAAACATGGATTTTACAGCTTTGTGTCTGATCTACAGATCAAAATGAAGCTGTTTTGTTCTAGATATGGCCCAAAATGCAGTTGTTGGCAGCCGAAGTGGTTTGGGGAATTGAGCCAGAGAGACTGGCAATAACTGTGGGAGGGAAGATGCTGGGAAGTTGGGAGAGAGGCAGCAAATGAACAGGCTGATGGAATGAACTGTAGCGGGAGTTGCTGAGGAGAGAGGAGTAAGATGTAGCAGTCCTGCCCTACTTGGTCCAAAATAATCCCCAGGGATCCCTCTACATTTTATTTCATTTGAAAACTGGAACAATTGGATTTTCCTTCTGCTGCTCTGAAATGATTGCTGAACTGCAATGATTTGTTCTGGAATTCAACAAAACATTTTATAATAAAATCTAAGATACTGATTGTATGTATGGATTTTTTGTTTTGTTTCAGCAGTTCACCTATACCTTTGAACTCTTTAATTGGTGCTGAAAATGTTCTGTGTGTCTCGAAAATAAAAGCAAGCTGGCAAAAAGCTTCAGGAAGCTTACTTGGCTCCTGGGTCAAGCAAAGGCTCATGTTTTCAGTGCAACCTGTGGGGAGTGGCAGTCCGGAGGTACTTGAGGGCCTGCCTCATGACTTTCCACAATCATAAGATTCAGAAAGGAGTATTTTTTTTTACACCTAGTGATGCTCTTCATAGTTAGATAGCAATAATTAAAGTATTACATAAAAAAGAAATTGGGAATTGCCAGTTGCTGAACCTTTGCACATCATTTTTGACTTGCTCTCCTACAATTCTCACCACAGCACGACAAGACAATCCCACATTTACATTTTTCCCGTATCTGCTTTCCGGCAGCCATAGACTTCTCCAAATCCACCACGTCCGATGATCCTATGGACACTGAAGTCATTCATGGTCAGCTAGATCCCATGAAAGAGCATTTTTTTAAAAAAAAAAAAAAGGGAAGAGAAAGCAAAACAAGAACATTAACCTGAAGGGAGAATGAACTTGTTTCCATAGCACTATCTAAGTACATTCCTATCCAAGGGCTAATTATCACTGGATTTCAACTACTTTCAATACATACTTTCCCTCATCTTGGTCACCACTGCTTGAGTTTTTACTACTATAGGAGGTATCACTGGGTATATACATTCATATCTTGAAACAGAAACTGATAACCTGTAACTCCCAAGATGCTGAAAGATGCCAGCTAGCATTATAAACAAGTTATAAGTCCAGCAATTCCAAAGCAAAAAAATTTCTGTTCCTGTTTTAAGATATTGAGCATGACACTGAATTATCTAGTTCATTTACAAATTATCATTCATTTACATAAATAATGTTGTTCTAGCTACCAAAACGACGAGCCTTTTAGGGATGGGAACTCCTTTCTCACTACATTACGATTGCTTTGCAAATCTTGTAAATTCTGCATTCTATAATAAAGTGACCATTAGTAACTCTATGCTTAGTGTCTCATGACCAGGGGTGGGATTCTACCAGTTCGCACCTATTTGCTAGAACCGGTTGGAGAAGCGGTTGTTAGAAGAAATTACTGGCCTAATCCTGTAAGGAAGGCAGGAAGTAAGCATTCTGGTGTTGCTTACAGAAACTGCCTCTCTGTTAACCCTTATTACATTCTTGGCAGGACTAGACTTCCTGTCTCAGGAACTTCTCTGGAGTTTTTTCCTCCTCCTTTGCTGGTACTTTGCTTGTGTGGAATGACCATTCAAAGTTACAATGGCACTGAAAAAAATGACTTATGACCATTTTTCACACTTACAACTGTTGCAGCATCCCCACAGTCATGAGAGGCCAGACAAGGAGATACATGCCTCAATGTGAGTAATATTGAGTTGGCCACACCCAGCCAATAACATGACTACCAAGCCATGTCCACCTAGTCACATGACCATCAAGCGACACCCACCACCTAAGCCACGCCCACAGACCCAGTTGTTAAAAAATTTGAATCCCACCCTGCTCATGACAGTTTTATCACAACCTCAAAATGCCCTCCCAATACTAGGCACTTACATGGATGTTCAGCTCCACATTTTTCCATTGGCAGAAGCGTGTGAATTTGTCACTGAAACAGAATAAGAGACATAACTCACAAATATACATAAACAATTTCTCTCTCAGTTGACTCCGGTCCCCAGTCAGTGCATTTTTAAACTAAAATCTCTATTTACAAGATTTCAAGTTCAGTATACCAGCAATGAAAGAATATAGGAGGCATTTTAAAGATAGTCCAACCAGAGGACATTGTGGCAATGGGAGCTAAAAAGGCAGTAATTCAGATATCTTAATGCCATTTCCCCACAGATAAGGATACTAGTTTTCCTCTAGTATCCAGGTGCAGTTAATCAATGCTAGATTGGTTAATGGGAAATGAGGCATGATCGTATCAAATTATGGAACAGCATGCCAACTTGGCTCACATCACTAAAATCTGATTGAAAGGAGGGGGACATATTTACCTCTTCCAAATGTGTCTATCTGGCTACCTTGTATATAGCAACTTAAGTGGTAAAGATAATCTTGGTCTATAAACTCTCTCTTTGATCAGTCTAACACTCAGCCAATTTTGATTGCCTGCATTATCCAAGTTGCCTTCTTGTCTAGGCTGAAGGAGGTAAGTACAGGGCTCAAGATTTGAGGGAAAGGTTAACATTCAAACTAAGAAACCGTTGTTGTTAAGTGCAGCTCAAGATGTCATGATTACCATGTCAATATGTTCATGACTCAAATTATACCTCTCCTAACATCTGAGATAGAAACACCTTGATCTTAAGGTTTTGTAATGATTAGGAAGAAGCGGGAGGGTTCTCTCTATAGGGAGAACATTATGATTAAAGATATGACTGAAATTCTCCAACTGAAGAGTGTTTCTGGGCTGAAAAGATTTGCCAGCAACAATCTGGCCCAGGGGACGCCAGATTGCAAAAAGCAATGCAACCTTTGGGGAGGCTCCTTTCATGTCCCTCCTCCTCACATTGTGTAAATATAGAGAACAATCCATCTCACATGTACTACAGTGCATCCAATGTTCTTCAACATGTACAGAGGAAGACCTCAAGCTGGTGAGAGAAAATGCTGCTGCGCATCCAGTTTTAATCCTATCTATTTTGCATATTTTTTACATGTGCTGTATCTCTGTGACCTATTTTACACTTATTTTAGCTACTCAATATCGAACATTATAGACATAAGTCTATATTTGAAGGTGCTGCTGACATGAATAAAGAAAAATGACTAAAATTTACAATAAATGAAGTGTCACCTGTGACTTTCATAAAAATGCAAGCAGAAAATAGGAATGGATATTTGGTTATTGCTATTAGTGAACACGCAGCCATCACTGCATTTATAGAACATTGTCCAAACGAGTCTTTTTAATCATTAAAGGATGTTCTTGTCATAGAGCCAAATTTAAAAGGATTGGGACCTTCAAAGGTCCTCTGAGATCTACTTGATGGCAATTTATTTTATGGACAAACACTTTGAGTGTTGAAAGCCCAAAAGTGTTTATCAATAAAATTGCTGGATCACATTCTCTATTTAAAAAAAAAAACCCTCACATACAGTATGCTGAGTGGTTCTTAAGACTGCATGCTAACTGGAAAGTTTAGACAGCCAAGTAGCCAACAATTGTTTTTACCAATGCACTATAACTATGATATGTCTATAAAGTAAAATCTATAACACATCAGTCTTATCATACATTTAAAATGTTTATGTTGGTTCTAAAGGTCTGAATTAAGAATAGGCTGTCAAAAATCTCAGCCTTATCCATGCCAATGAATATACTCTAACATCACATTAGAAGACACAAGGCCTTCTGGAAGATGGACCCTGCTAGGTCTAATGTTTTTGAGATTCCATCATAGTAAACCTTCAATTGGGCTCTAAAGACATACCTGTTTATCTTGATCTATAACCATGTTTGGCTTCTATCAGATCTCTATCTCTTCTAACAGTCAATGTAAAGTAATCATATTTTCAAGTAACCATCTTCAGTATACTACACCAAATCAATTATATTACATGATGTATCTATCTGTATATATGTATGTATGTGTACACATGCGGGGGGAGGGGGGGGAGGGAAAGAGAGAGAAAACAACAGAATGGCTTTATGTATATTTATTCCAAAGGCATTTTCACTGTGTTCATGGGATCTCACTCCTATGTAGATCTGCAAACTTTAAAAGATATTACTGCATTTTTGTAACCACCCCTGCCCCAGTTACACAACAATGAATAAAAAGGATATTCATTTCTCCATATTGCCTTTAAAGACTTATTTTAGTGGAATTTCCCAATAACTTCCTTTGGTCTCTAAGTGTCAACTGGGGGTTCTCTCTCTCAACTCTCTTTAAACAAGGATTACCTCAAAAAAAAAGAAAGCAACAGACCCATGCTACTTGGAAACGATGGGACGGCAATCCAAGCCATATCAAAAGCCTCAAGAGAAAGTTGCTATATATCCATAGTAAATATGGACCCCAATAGCATGGTTTTATACAAAAGAATCAACAAACTTGATCAACAATATTGATCAACAATATTACTTTTAAAAAGATCCATAGAAAGCTCCTAAAGGAGGATTCTCAGAACAAAACTGTAAAAAAGCTCAATAAGGGCCAGGTCAATATGCTGAGGTGGATTTGAAAGGTGGCTAGGTAAATACTGAAGAAAGAAAAAGTCTTCAGGAAAAAAAAGCCCAGAGCTATCTGACTGAAAATCAAAGACGGTTCACAGCATTCCTGTAATGTAACTTCTAAAGAGAATTTATATTCCTCAGGACTCACCTCTCAATGAACTTCTGGAAGACAGACCCACGCAGACATTGGCAGATCTCTTCAATGTATGGCTGGCAAAAGAGAAGACAGACTTAAATACCAGCAGCCTACCTATTACCTTTGTCACTCACTTGTCTCGTTTCTCTTCTGAGTAGTTCCAGTTGTAGATATTAACATCCCTGGCCAGGGGAATGCAAGAATACTGGCAGCAAAAGGTTTACAGGTAGTCCTCAACTTATGGCTGTAATGGAGCATCATCATAAATCGTGATAGTGATGAATTGAGAAACTCACACAGACCCAATTTTATGACCTTTTTGTGGCAGTTGTTAAGCGATCATTGTAAAGCAAACCAATATATTCCTTTGGATGGTTTTTTTGTTGAAAATTGGACAAAAAGCCTCATTGCCAGTTTCTGGGAAAAGCCTCATTGTAAATCTTGTCACATGACCTTGTTGCAACTGGCTGTAAAGGCAAACCAGTTGCCACGTGTCTGAAATGCAGACATGTATCTCTCTGTGTATGTGTTGTGACAACTCCAGAATTGGGTGGTAAGTAGCTGGGGGGGGGGGGGGGCTTCATAACTTTGAATGGTCACTAAACAACCAGTCACTAAGTGAGGACTCCCTGTAAAATAGATGGGCCCTACCAGAGTCAAGTTTTTTTAACATGTGGCAATATGAGGAAAAGCATGTCACAAGCTATGGTTCAGACTGGGTTCAAACTGGGATGAATCCAATGCAGTGAAATGCTATTCATGCTGCACAGATCTGTTTCACTCAGCAATTTGTCCCAGGAAAGGTTGCGGGCTGATTCAAGGGCAAATGATATTTTGTGTGAGCTCAGAGATCTCATCTGTGGAAAGAGACTTACTTGGAACAGGTCAGGCAGCACTTGCTTTTTGCTCAGACGAGTTTGCACGTACTCTGTGGCTGTTTTTGAGAAGGGCTGTAAAGGATACACAAAAACAAGTCAGCCTAATGCATAGGTGATCATTAATTTAGTAGGATGAACAAAAACCTGATAGGGCAGGTGTCTGTGTGTGTTGACCTGTTCAGTTCCAACCTTGTTGCTTGGTATACTTTTGCCAAGGAGAGCCCAAAGCATTTTTCCAAAGAAGCTGACTACAGAGAGAAATAGGAAGGACTAATGCAAAACAAGAAACAGCTGGAATCAGGCAAAATGTAGGTACTGTCTTTTTATTCCACATTCAGTCCTGCAGCTTGGTAGCCGCTTTTATCTACTCTACTTCACTCTCCCAATCCTTGTGTTTAGTTTATCTTGTCTGCAGACTGTATAGATAAAATTCTCCTATGTTGATAGCTCTCATTTGTTTCCAGTCTTGAAAACATCTTATTTATGCCATCCACGCACCTATATGGAAAGGTGCCTTATACCAAATTACACAGTTTATTTATCCTAATATTGCTTATTTTGAGTGATGGACAATACTCTTCAAAATCTCTCTCAAAGTCTTCAAAGTTGATAATGAGTCTTCCCCATTATCAACTATTTGACTCTCTTAACTGGAGTTGCCAAGAACTGATCTTGATAAATCCTGAACACAAAGTTGGTGTTCTACCTATGAGTTAGGGCCCTTTAGCAGGAAGAAAAGCATCTTGCAATGCTTATTTCCTGAACTCTGAAATTGCTCTGACTAGCATACATCAATTATTTATTCTTGTTTGATTTCAACATTAGGAATCTCGATACCCATAACTTAGCTAGATATTAGAAGAGACCACTATTCTACGATGTTTCTATGCCTCTTCCTCCTACATCCAATACAGACACAATGGGATGTGATATCATCACACAATGCATCCCCCGCTGCTCCCTCTACAGTCAATGTGGTACGATGAGGACAGGAAACAGACAATTCCATATTGTTTGTTATGGTACACCTGATACAAACAGGAAGGGAGATCAGAATTAGCTGTCCCAAGTAGAGAGAAAGAAATTGTCTGTCTGATGCTGCAAGAACACTGCCTTAAAAAAGGAACTACTGTATCTAGGTGGCTGCCTGCAGTTCACTAATAACAAGATCAGCCCTGAACAAGAAAAGAGACACTGCTTGGCAGCAGCAGAGTGGGGAAGGGGGGGGGGGGGGGGGGGAATCACGGAGAAAGGTTAAGAGCTGAGATAGGCCATTCCAGCAGAACTATGTGTGCCACTCAGGGACCCACAGAAAGTATTTTGCCTGCGAAGAGGGTATCGTGACGGCGGTCTAGCTCCTCTCACTTAATCTGGGGAGCCTTACATTTTCAAGGATCTCGTTCAAGGTGATTATGAAGCAGCCTTTCCGCCCATTCCCAAGGGCCTTTTCAGACTCTCTCACATGGCAGCAAGTGTCCGAAGCACTCACATGAGAGCAGGACAACAGTTCCTTCATGATGTACATGTCAAAGATCTGGCGGCTCTTAACTGCTCGATCCTCATCAGAATCCAACTTCTCATATTTTTTGATCTGGAAGGAACAGGCAAGATAATATTGGATAGGTAAGATGATGTCCTTTTTCCACACAAAACATTCAAGGCTCAGTAGATAAGGCCATTTACAGATACCACAGTCTAAACCTGAAAAATTCCAAAATGTTAGCTTACGAACCAGGCCATCAAGATTCATTTTCTTAGCTTATTTTGTTTGAGTGGAAGGTGCAGGTTACAACAGGGATGGTAGTGATAACAAAGACAGTGTGGAAGCAATAATTATATAATAACGATAGAAAAGCAAAAGGACAAGAACTGTGATTAAGAAATTCAACAGTGCACTGGAAAGTAATTACCACTTCTTCTCTTCCTTGCTTATGATCTGTTTTTATTTTTAATTAAGACAAGTGAAGCATATCAGCTTTTCCCAAACTGGTATCTATATGCATTTGTCTATAACCACATACGTTGCCAGTTAACACATCACCAACTCCTTAAACTAAAATAAAATAAATACTTGCATTTTTCTGTATTGTATTCTCCAACTGACAAGATTTTACAGAATGTTATTAATATTAATGATTTATATCCCAGTTTGCTGCTTAGAGGATAACAGTTTTGACAAAGCCACTAGGCTCTGCCAATCTGCTTGTTTATTTAAAATTCTAGCTAAACTGCAGCTGGAGGTCCATGATCTAATGTTCTTTTGGATTCTTCATCTGCTGCATGAACAAAACTCCAGTTATTTGAGAAGGAAGGCCACTTCATCCTAATTACCTTCAATATGTAAAAGGGGCTTGGAATCACTTAGCTGTTTCTAGGAAGCCTAAGTCTAAAAGTAATATTCTGTGCTGTAAAGACAGTCAAAGCGAAGGGCCCTGTTCAGTAATTTTCAAGTGGGTTTCTACTACCCACTTACTCCAAGCTTCCAAGATCAGATTTAGGAAATATGAAAGGAGGAGCTTGCATGAGGATAGAAAATCGATTCCACTAGCAATGTTGTTAACCCTTTTCACCTTGATTTCATTCTTAATGCTTATACCATCCTCCTCCCAAGAGAAATGTAGGCTAACAGTCTCAAACATCTCTATCCATTTCAAAGAATAATGTATTATTTGTGTGCTAGGCTAAAGAAGGTAACAATGTCTGAACGTTAGAACACTTTTTTTGTTGAGTTAGTGCCTCACCTCTTCATAGAATTCCACCAGTGGTTTGGCCTCCTCTACCTGATTCAAGCAGAAATCTCGGAATAGTAGGAACCCTAAAATACACAAAAAGCAATATGAAACTCATACGCCACTAACTCCTTCAACACATTTAACAAACTGCTCCTAGTCTTATTTATCATTTCTAGCAATCCAGGACTCATATGCCACCCGTGACTACTTATCCCCTAAATAACAGAGAACAGAATAATGCTGAAAATGGTTACAAAATGATCTACAATTGCCACATTGCCTTAAAAGTAGGGATCTTCTATTGCTGGATGGATCAGAAAGCCCTTCTAGTCTCACAAAATACTTCCAAATTAGGGCAGTCACAAGCCATTCAATAATCAACATCTGTTACAATTGCCAAGCCTGAGAAATTAAAGCCTTCAGTGGGGCAACTCCTTTTCTTCTCTTATCCAAATAATTGCCATATTGGAGTAAAGGGTTTCAGCCAATAGCAAAGAATCATGTTGTGGAAAGCCAGGGCAGAAATTACAGTTGCTTTGATTCCTGTTTCCTCAGCAGTTCTTTTAAAATGAATACTGTATACTCTGAAGCCACAGCTGATTTTACAATGATTTTTGACCAAGCTACAATTGGTTTGTACAAAGTAAAACATAAACAATGGTTTAGAAAGGCAAAATTCAGCAACGTACAAAACCACATATCATGGATAGAGTTGGGATTGGCATGAGATGTGAACTCAATGTCTCTACGTAGCAATTGACAATCCCAGAAGATGCATGGTAGTGATGACTATCCACATGCCGATCAAAGTACTGATCTACTGCCTCCAAATAAAGCAGGTTTCATTTAAACTGCCATTGTTTATCCCTGCCAAAGTATTTATCTTCTATGAAAATGCATAAACTTTTCCTGTAATCAGCAGCAATTTTTCACAGTTGCTAGAACAGGGCTAATATTGTATTGCTATCTTGCCGTTTTTACAGTCATCCAGAATTTTGCAATGCAGGTTTACTACTAGTCTTTTAACAGTAATATAAAAGGAAAAAATTAATGAATTTGGAATCATTTATGAATCATGCATCAGCCCACTGGGGTAAAAAAATTGGATGATTGCTACCAGTAGCAAACAGCCTCTGTTTAGACAGAGCTGAAAACCACAAACATCTAATCCCCAGAAAAAAAGAGAGGAATCTGAGATTTCTAACAAGAAACATTTAAATATTTTTATTTCTATAAAAGCCATATAATTTCAGTTTTATAGGCTACATTAAAAACTGTGGAAAATCATAAGATGTCATTAGATTTGCTTACTTCCCCTGTCCCCTGCTCAATTATTTCATCTTTATTCCAGGAAAAGATTCCCATGGTTAATTTTTGCACAGAATATCAGTAAAAAGTCAACGACAGTTCTCAAGCTTGTTGGTCCCTCTTCAATTGTTAGTCATGAGTCACAAATGTTCTAAGATTCCAATAATCAAAAGCACATACCTAGAGCAACTTATAAAGCTATTGACCAATCATAATAAGTGATTAACTATAGCTTCCCAACCTATTATATAACTGCATCATTTTTGAAAATATTAGAACATGTGAATAATCCTAATCTGTGGATTATTTAATTAATATTCTGTGAATTAACCCAACTAGTATTCAAATGTCACCCTAAACTGTAAATTACTTACGCAGGTTAGGTTCACATAAAATACTGAAGAAGGAACTAGTAAGCGTTGCTTACTCTGCTATACAAACCAAATTCATATGATTAGTTGACGGTTCAGAATATCATGCCTGACCAGAACATGGAGTGCACTGAGAACTGAACTCATGGCTCTCTTAATTAAGGATGTGTTTTTGTGCAAACACAGCCACTGAACCATATACCAGCAAGCTACAGTTTTGCCTCATGCATTGTGTAAAGCCAACATCATCAAAATACTAATCCAGAAGTCTCACCCCACCAGTATTAAAGAGAGCAACTGAAACTGGACATTTAAAAACTATTAATCCCTGCACCACTTATTAATTTCTCAAGCATAGCAGGCACCATCTTCTGCTTCTTGTTCCCTCCCCTGGCTCACTCACTGAGGTGCAGGCTGATCAATTTCAATTTCAGTTTGTGGCTCAACAACTCCCACTGTCCCTGTCAGCCTACACTTCCCCCAAGTGCAAGGGGAGATTGCTGAGGTTAAAAAACTATTGAGAAAGCAACCCAACCAGGAGAGAGAGAGAATAGGCAAAATTGGGATACATCATGCGGAAACCACAAGTGGCTGTGGGTGTGGGAGGAAGCAAGAGCATTTCCTGTTGAGGCGGGGTGTAATAACGGAAAGGGGAAACAGTGCTAGAGTACTTGTTGTTGCCTGGCTGAGCATGGACAACAGTCCAGTATCACCCAGTGAGTTGTTGACCAACAGCCATTACTCACTCCAAATTTGTGTTTTCTGTACCTTTAATGAAACTTTATTTTATGTAGTCTTCTCTTTGTTATTTATAGCTGGACCAAATAGATCCTTCCTTCTTCCAGAAGAACAGAAATATTGGGTATAATGGTTTCATACCCACCCACCCCCCTTATTCTGGGCTTCAACAAAAGACAAACAGAAATTCAGTAGGTAAATTCTCCCCATCGATCTTTCTATAGAGGCAAATATTCCACCTGCTGAAATATTCACTCCTTTCACAGCTGTTGATGGTACAGACATTCTGAAAGAAAGGGTTGGCAGTTTTGATTCCTAAAGGTTCATGCATCTTTAAGAATTGCAGAAGAGACATTTCCTCCAGTGCAGATTTTCTATTGACTGCAGTAAAGAGAGAAATCTGCAGGGAGAAACATTCTGCTTGCTATGCAACTCTTAAAAGCACAGGCACCTATAAAGGTTATGTTGTGCATAATCTACAGACTTGGAATTCCAAGAGGAAAGGCATTTTCACATACTTCCAACCCAGATATTTTAAATGCTTTCCCCTTCCAACAGCAGGTTATACGCATGACTTGACATGCTACACACTAGAATAGCATGTCATGTAAATATGGACTGCTGTAAGAACCCAGAAAACTGGATGGCTTAATCAAGTAAATGATAGTTAAAATAGATAAGTATGTCATGCAAACACCACAAATATTTACCAAGTGAAGCAAGCATTTTTCCAAACTAACAGAAGAGGAAACAGACACCATTGTAATGAGGACAAGAGGAAGCAAGTTTCTTTACAGAGTTCAGCTATTTATTCTCTTCTCCATTTAAGCTCATCTTTAATCTTTAAGCTCATCTTGAATGACTCGGTTTGCTGTGCCTCAATATGGAAGGCAATGTTACCAGACTGGATTTTTCTAAGTAAGACATTTTTAAAATTGGTACCACATTTGTTTCTGTTTGCAGTTCTATTATGTGATACACCCTACCATTCAAAATCCCTTTCTCTTATACAACTTTCAAGATACAAAACATCAGTTTCCTTTGCAAGTAGTCATCCTAGAACAGCTCTACCACTTCTATTAAGACAATGGAAGTTATAATCCTCATTAGCATCAGGATAGGGGAGGCAAAAGACTTGTTAACTCTACATTTAAATGAAGGTGGCCAAGGCTGCTCTAAACCGTAGCAGTAACTTAAAAAACTAAGATTATATCTTCTCCCTGAATCAAAGGGAATGCAATTTTTCAATTTGCATCATGAGTTTCCCTTTCCCTTTTTATTTTGGTCAGTTATGTCTTTGTTACCATAAAAATTATGTTGAATGAAAACTATGAAATAAAAACTGAGTGAAAAATATGCATAGTAGATTGATTGATTTCTGGTCAGAAGCTTGAGCTCTAACAGCCAAAAATATATTGGTTGTGTTTATTCAAGGTAAATTAAGCTGTGATTGCACAATTCAGGCTGTTTTCAAATCATTCTAAACTTGAAATTGTGGTTAGCAAACTATACTGGATGTGTTCACACAATATGTTATGCCAAAACAAAATTACTTTATAGCTTGAGGTGATGATTTGCTTCATGCAACATCCTACCATATAATGCCATTTGTTGATTCAGTTTTAGACTTTGTATGTAGTTCAACTTGTTATGCAAACACAATCACACTTAACCATAAGTAATAGCACAGTTCACATAATATGTTAAGCTAAAAATCATGCTGCAGCCACTGAGTAAGCAGGAAAGCTCCATTGAACTTTACTTGTTTTAGGTAATGTATCTAGCTAAACATATAGCCATGCAAAGATTCTAATACTTACCAATCTTTTGAGAAAATATCTTGTCAAAGGTGACTTCACCCCGATCCTCCAAGTATTTTTGCATAACACTGCGGATGCTGCCAAGAGAAGGCACACAAGGGAAGTTAATTATAAAATATTTTTCTAGCTTGGTGTATTCTCTCCAAAGTCTTTTCCCAAAGCATATTAGAAACTAGAAATTTTAGTATTTCTGATACTGGGAAGATTCTACAACAGATTAGGTGTGTCTGTCTTGGTGCTAGTTTTCTTAAAAGAGACTTCTCCAAATGTGATTGACAAACTGTCGTCTATATTTTAGACTCAATATGCTTGAATCTAAAATATCTAGAGAGCGCTAGATTACGAAAAACTTTAAAATTATCATCTTCAACAGAAAATATTTGACCACTCATACACTAACTATTCTGTTTTAATTTTAAAGAAGAATGTTGTTCCTTTTTTGTGCTAATTCTAACCATAAAAAAGAAAGAAGGTACATTTGCAATAGGGATGTACTTTGTTTCAGATATGAAGCTGAAAAAGTGTCCCGCATTGGACCTTAATGTATTTGTAGATATCTCCTTAAAGAACCTGTGTCTTTTCTTGGGTGTCCTTATAACTGTGATTCCAGAAAATACAGCATAAGTCTCAGGTAAGGAGGCACACAGATGCCTGCTCCAATGTACTCTGTCACACCCTTTTAGCATTTAGTCAGTAGATAATTACTATAAAGAAAATGTGGCATTTCTAGAATGGCATCTAGATCTGAGAGATTAATTTTCAAAGAAATAAAATATTTAGGGCCACTTCTTTCAAAAGTGTAAAAAGCAAACTCAGGACATATTCCAGTATTGTACTGAAGCAGAGCCATGTTCATTTTTCTAGGTGGTTTATCAAAAGAAATCACTACAGATATTCCTTGACTTACAACTGCTTCGCAATAGTTTGAAGTTATGATAGTCTTAGAAAAAAGTAACTTAAGACCTGTTATTGAAGTTATAGCCATCACACCACCCCTGCAATAACATTATTGCAATTTAGGTGATTGGCAACTGGCCTGCATTTATGATGGTGTCTTGCAGTAACATGATCACAGTTTACAACCTCCACAGTGGGCTTCCAACAAAGTTAACTGGGAAAGCGAGATTCGCTTAACAACCATATGATTTGCTTAAAGAACCACAGTAAAAATGACCATAAAATTGGGTCCAGACAAATAATGACTCAATTAATGACTGCATTGTTAGTGGCCAAAATCCCTCTACCTATTTTTATCTTGCATCAAAGATTATCTGTAAGGAAGACATAAACTGCTGAAAATAATATTGGGACAGAGTATCTTTGGGCTGAAAATGAGCCAGAAATTTCAGAGTTACAAAAGTACCTCAACGATGAGTTGGCAAGACCTTTAGGTGACAATTTGGAAAACATACTATGTATAATAGCTTCTCCACTAGCTAAACATGATGAGTTAATATATTACAAAGTATTGAAATTCTAATTTTAAACTTTTGCAATCTTTTTGAGATAATCCAAGGCCTTACTTCCTCTGTAAATTATCTGCTTCTGTGGAACTATTTTATTTCCTTCACAGACAACAGCTGGATTTCTGAATTGTGTGAGCTCATTTTTTTATTTCTAAAAATGAAAAAAAAAACCCACACCAGCATTAGCACCCTCCTATTTCAGTCTTAAGTACAGTTATTCAAAAATTCCAATAGTTTCAACAATGTCACCTACCCATGTTTTTGCTAAAACTATGTAATTTCATGACTTATTGTCTTTGAAACTTATATATAACCTGAAATTATGTTTGGGGTTTTTTTTTAATGAAAAGAACATATCCATCTTAGAAGGTGCAACATATTCTATTACAAATGTGACAAGGCAGCATTTCTAACATCTATAATTCATAACTAAACCTAACTTAACATGCCTTAATAATTATGCCTGGTCAGATTGTAAATGTACAATCATTACTCCATTTATGTACAGAAGTTAACCCTTCTTAGCTTCTAGATAGTTACTTTGAGCTCAATAAGCCAAACTGGGATACAGAAATAAGCTTGCCTGATTTCCTGAGGTAAACAAAAGTAGACCAGTGTTTCTCAACCTTAGCAACATTAAGGTATGTTCAACTCCCAGAATTCCCTAGCCAGTTGGTCTAGACCAGGGGTGTCAAACTCATGGCCCGTGGGCCGGATGCATCATGCACTGACCATGCCCATCCCAGTTTAGCAAAGGGTGGAAAAGTCACAATACCTCATGTGACAACAATGTGACGCTGCAAGTTTGACATCCCTGGTCTAGACAACCAGAAAAGTTTTAAGGAAGATTCTTGGAACAACAAACTGTTAACAAAAAAACGTGTTAGAGGAGAAACTCCTAGTTTCTAGTAATTTCATATCAGTGGAAGACCAGTTATAGTTTTTTCAATGACAATTGCTGAAATGCAAAAGATGAGCGTTTGCTGATAAAATTTAATGGTAATTACAAACATTTTAGGAATCTGATCCTAGGACTGACTCTTGCCTCATTTTTTTTCTTTGTAAAATAAGGCACAGCAAAAGCTACTGAGAATGTTAGTTCTCTTGAATTCTTCTAGTATAGGCATTTAATGAGAAGTAGTTACTACTAAAAATAATCAGCCAGATATTTAAAAAGCTTTTATTCACATATAGGCCATTGGGAAGGAAATAGGAAATTACTTGCAAGTAACCCTGAATATCGGGGCTACTTTTAAAAATATTTTTTGGACTGGAAGATTTAAAACAGAGTTTAACTTCAGTACTGATTCATTAACTCAGGGGTTCTGAAAGTGTAAGTTGTACCTTATGGAAAGGGTGTGCAACTTTCCTGAGGTTTGTGTGAAGGCAAACCAAGATTTTTGCCAGATATATTTATATACCATCCAGATCTCTCTGTGAGGGAAATGAGTGGCTTCTAAATGCAAATAAATAAAATGTTGCCATTGCTTTGTTGGGACAAGCCAACAGTTCTAGCTTTGCAAGTACACTGGTTTGCACATCCAAAGATGGATCTTATCAAAATGTGCTCCCATTCCCTCTAGACAAACTGGCAGCCAGATTTTCCAAGGAAATCTGAAGCAAGTTCTGACAAGTTGCTAACTCTGTATTTCCTCCAGCTTGCACACTTGAATCTGGATCATGGTTAGAATTTGCTCTTGCTCTGCCTTGGTAAGCCAGCAGCTTCCTTGCTGAACAGGTAATAAGGAAAATACAAGCATACCCTGACAGAGCTCCAGCTTTAAAAACTGGATCACTCTCAAAAAGTTGCTCCTGCTCTGCCAGAAGACACTGGCAGGAAGCTTATTCTTTTGTTAAATGTATACCTCACCATACCTTCAAGGGCCCCAAATGGCTTACATGGTCATTACATTTCATTGTATTCCTACAATACCACCCTCTAAAAAAAAGTGCATTAAGAGATAATAATGGGCTCAAATCCACCCAATGAGTTTTTAAGGCTAAGAACAGACTTGAACCTGGACCTCCCACATTTTGACCCAAATGATAACAATCACACCACCAAAACCTTGAGATAATTTTGACATGGCTCTTATTTTAAGTGTGCAAGGCTCATGGCACACATACATAAAACCAAACTCAGTCTTGTTCTGCCTGAACAAAACAGTAGCAAAGTCAGAATTTCTTACAGCTGGTGCAGTAAAGATCAAGTATTGATCAAAAATAAACGTGCTACTACGAAGGAAAGTGGCTATATTAAAAATAAAAAAGTCAGGAATTATGCAAAGATCATTCTTATAAAAATAAGATTGTAAACTGTTATTTGCAATGTAATGTTTTATTTGATAGTTATCATTTTCTTTATTTGATAGATGAAAATGCATTTCTTAAACATGTTGTATTCATTACCCAACTACACTGAAAATGATAATTTTATCCAGGAAGGTTACACAAATTCATTTACCATTTAGGGGGTCAAAGCACAGCAATGGACGAGGGCCCCTGCCATGACTAATCACAGAAAAAGGAAATAAATGCATAGAAAATAGCCTGCTTCCCTTAACAGGAAAAAAAACAACACCCTCCAACACAGTAACAAATAGATAAGAAAACTTTTATTGCTTATTTTATAATCCTCTCTTTCAACATGAGAAATGTTAACTTCTGCCCTTTCAAAAATGCTATGCTCATGTTATAGCAGCACATTACTAGCATCTATGTACAACCTGCAAGACATTGATCATGTGGTTGCCACAAATAACAGGATCTAGATTGCTACAACTCTTGGTCTGTGTTGCAATTGCTTCTGTTGTAGATGATCCAGCGGGTTTAAAACCCCAGGAGGTACCATTTCCTGAAAGCTGCAATGATTCTTCCATTCTAGGTGGAAGTGATGTGAAAACGACACTTGAAGTTGCTAAGGCAGGAACTGCAGAATATCAGAATCTATTGAAAGCGGATGAAACTGTTCCATAATTAGAATTATGAAAGACTGCTGTGCCAATTCTGCATTCTGATATAGCCCAACCTTGTCCACTCTTTGTATGTGTTGAACTATAGTTCCCATGATTCCTAATGAGAATGCCCTATAGTCCTAGCTGCTGTAAAGTATGGGAACTGCAGCCAAATACATCAGTAGTTTGTAAAATTGGAGGAAGAGTTGTAGTGAAAACCCAAGATAATTGCTGAAGGGGGACTATTTGTACAATTTTTATTTTCTTAGAATAAGGTAGAATTCAATGCAATCTGTAAAATTTTGAGTTTGCTCTCTCAAGAGATGAATATGATTCTGAGCAGTTTTGAACATTTTCTCTTGCAATTAGTATGGCAGCAATTTTCTTGTCTAAATTATTAATATTGTGTGATTTATGAGCCAGAGAAGTGAGATTAGATGGTGAGAAATTTGGATTCAACAATCAGCTACAAAATTCACAGTATAGCTGAGGCCATGTCACTGTATCTCATCTTGCTCTAAAGTAGCTCAACAGCTCCACAATTCCCAAGGCCACAAGACAACTACCCGGTAATACTCAATATCTGTCAAACATCTTACAGGTTATGAGCCTAGGGTGATACGAAAAAAAATTGAGACATTAAGGGTACCATGAACTGAGAAAGACTTCACATATTCTCAAGAATATCAAGAAGAAGCATAACAAAGAATATACAGGGGGGGAAAGAATTAAATTCCTATTATGCTAATGAGCATCACTTACTCTGCAGCTTTTGTCTATTCTTTGTCCTCTATTAGTTAGTCCTCAACTTACAACCATTTATTTAGTGACCAAGTTACAATAGCATTGAAAAAAACTGACCTACAACTAGTTCTCATACTTATGACCTTTGGAGCAACCTCCAGTCACATGATTAAAATTCAGTCGCTTGGAAACTGCCTTGTATTTGATAGGTACAGGATCCCTGGATCATAATGATTGCCATTTGCGACTGTCCCAGCTGGATTCTGACAAGCTGGATTTGCTTAACATCCCTATGATTCATTTAACTGCAGTTGTCTGCTTAACAACCGTGGCAAAAAAGATTGTAAAAGGTGCAACTCACTTAATAACCATCTTGCTGAACAACAGACATTCTGATCACAATTGTTGCCATAAGTTGAGATCTACCTGCATTCCAACCTTAGGCAGAATTTTTACCCCAGATCGAAATAGAAATACTGCCCCAATACCATATGTGGTGGACATGTAACCACTCCCCCGCTATAAAAAAAGAGGATTGGAAAATATGCACACAACCATTCAGAGAATCTCAGAAATCAAACTTGAAATTAAAACAATTCTTTTTACTGTGTATAATTTCAGAACATACCAATGAAAAACACCATAATTCGTTAAGATATATACTCATGCCTATGAGGACAAACTGCACAACACTGAAAAAAAAAACATAGTACCAAAGATATCTCCTTGGGAACTCAAACTTGGAGAATATACACAGCAATGGCAAAATTAACCATATACATAATATAAATTTAGTAACAATAAGAAAGAATAATTTTCAGATATACTATATATATCAGACAGCAAGTAAGTACGAACACTTAGCAGCATAGTTTCTACATCTATGTTTATAAATACTGTAAATTGTTTAGAGTACAAAGAAGGGGGAATTCAGAAATGAAATAGTTATCTATACTATTTTTAGTGGGGTTTTTTTTCTCTCTCTTTAGTATGCACAGATAACACTACAGTAGAGATTTGGCATTAAGCTCAATGATTTATACTTTTTTATATCAAAAAACCTCAATGTACTTCATCTGGTCTGGTCAACCTTCATTAATGTTATCCTGAGCATTAATTGTTTAACTTCAGTAATTGTCTTGTCCAACTTGTTGACATATCTTCCTGAAGTATCCCAAAATCCAGCACTATTTTTGAAACAACTGTTTAACAACAGCAACATTTAAACAACAGCAATGTTTTTTAAAAATGTATATTGTCTTGAGTTATTTGAAGTGCAATACAAATTAAATAAATAATAATAAACTACAAGATTCTTAGTGCTGTTGCTTTCCAATTGTTACAATGAAAACAATTCTCATGGAAAGCTATTTGGTCAACTATCCATGAAGAAATGTTTGAGAAGAGAATGTGCAAGGTCCTCACTGCCAGCGGCTCCCATAAATCATGTGTATCTAGGTGCTTGAGAATTAACGTTGTGGCCTTCAGAAATGAGACACTGTCAGCTTTGATCGGGATTGCTCTCCCATGCCAAGATCACATCAAGCAAACCAATCACAAAAAACAATACAGGGGACATCTATTCAGTACATCAGCTGATCTACAAAAACAATCTAGACATTTAAGGACTGGTTAAATATCTGAACAGTTCCTGACATGTTATACCCTATCCATGATTACCCAAAACAAAATAAAATATGCATAAAACAATTCTACAAATAAGCTTTCTTCTGCAATGTGATTTAGGTTGAATTATGTCCAAGGCCTACCTCTTTAATGCATTTCCAATATCTGGTTTTAGAAGACATTTAAATTACATCCCTGAATCTGCAACCCGTAGCCCTCATTATTCCATCTGATGGGAATTCTCCAGTAGAGCTCCTGTTCTGACTGTGACAAAACTTCTCTGCAGGATTCTTCAATTCCTAACCTCCTTTTAGGGCCTTGCTTCACTGATTAATAGTTTGGCCTTTAATTTATTTATTTTTAGGATAACTTCCTGAAATGAATATCTTGTTGGTGCCTCCTTCCGTATTTAGATCTTCACTTAAGATCATCTATCTCCCATGCTTCTACATCGGGGTGGCTGCAAGACTGAGAAAACTGAAGACATTTCTAATGAGTTTAGAAGAGAAAGGTAAGGGGGAAATGCTACCAGTAATACCATTAGTACAAAATTCAAATAGAATTGGAACTTAAATGAGGATAAATATAATTTTATTCTGCAATTTCTGTTAAATTGGTGTATACTGCCCATAGTTACTCCCAGTGAGATTGGTGGCTATATAAATTTGATTAATAAATAAATATTCTGTATGGCTGTGACTTAGCCAAGAGAGTTGCCAGAGAATTGTTACTATCCAAGTTGGAGGTGAAGGGTAAAGGCTGCTGGTTGGCTCTCCCTGCTTTAAGGTTCTTTCCTTCCAAGACTGTGGAGGAACAGCACCTAAAGTTCCCATGTGGGCAAGTACTTCCATATTGAAACCAGCAGCATGTGAAGAACACAAAGGCTCCTGGGTCTTTCAAGCATTGCCATGGTTACACATCTGCTTCATCTTCTAAAAGAGCAGCTGCCATTTTTTTCCTTCCAGGGTGCTTTCTGCTTTATTTCAGAGACTATCCATTCATCCACCCCTCAATGGTAGGGGAGTGGAGGGAAACTGTGTCTGAGTAGCCATTGGCCTCAGTTGAGAAAGCCCAAGGTTATTGGATGATATGGAGTAGAGCAGAATAGGCCAGATGTCACATGGAGGTTGCCAGAGGAAGAGGGAGGTAATGGGGGGAGAATAGGAGGCAGCCTGCACTTCCCTGTGTGCTGTCGGTGCAGAATGCCTGTCAGGCCCAACCCAGTTGCCCTTGGTAACAGCTGCTGGGAAGCAAGTTAAGGGTTGGCCAAGCTAAATTGTGGCCCTCGGATTTCATGTGCCAAGACCATTTTGGTGTCACCTGACAGTAAAATCCTTACACAGGAAGCAAATCTTCTACCAATGCATTCCTCATTTCTTTTGAGAAAAACTGCACCTTGGTGACCTTGCAAAAGATTTGCACAGAATTGCAATGTTGTTTGTGCAGCTCTAATTCCCATTTAAATTTAGAGTGACAAGGGATATGAATGCCTAAATGCAATCCCATTTCCAATCCACAGTGCTAAAGAAACACAGACCTAAGCCTTTGTGTTTTAAGTGTTAGAAAGATCCTTGTCAGCCAAGCAACAAGGCTCCACTCCCAGAATGGAATACAGCAAAAACATACATGCAAGTGGCTAGGGCTATCTGAACGTAGCTACGGCCTTAATGCATGCTCTCTGGAGCACACAGAGGAGCAGATGCTGGACTGCTCAGAAAATCATCATATAATTTATTACAGCCTGCCTTTCTGCAGAGATTAATAACCGCTTGTTACACATACACGAGAAACAAAAGGGGGGGGGGCTGTGACGTGCGGATAAGGAAAACAGCAGTACCGTGGAAGAGGTTTATTCCTCTCTGAAGGTGGCCCAGGAGTCTGCTGTTGTAAGGAATAATGCCCCCCCCCCCGCCATCGGGCCGAATTAATAACGGGGACACATGACACCCCTTCCTATTGCCCACCGTAGTAACCCAAAACATACAACAGGTCAGATGCCATTCCTTCTCCCATCTTTTCCTCTGAGGACAACACGTCTTTCAGAAGGGGCGAGAGGGAAGCTGGCACGGTTCATTTCAAGAGCGCTCTCAAGACAGATGGAGGTTCCATACACGCGCCCGCGCATTCACACGCACAGGAAGGCACCCGGGGCCAACTCCACGGCGCCTCAGGCTGGGCTACCACACCTGCCCTCCAACACCCCCCCCCACCCTCCTCACAGCTCACCTCGGCTCAGGTAGGATGATCTTCTTGCTGGCTCGAGCCGCCGGAGTCGATTTACTTTTCTCCATAGCCATTAAGTAGCTCACATCGGCGAGCACAGCCTCCAAGTCGGCCATCTTGCCAGGAAATATTTTCTTCTTCTGCTTTCCTTTTTTTTTTTTTCCACCACCAATTCTCCGATTATTCCCTGCGGCCTCCGGGGCTCGCCTCGTCTCCTTCTGCCTTGCCGGAGCGGGTGCCGCTGCGCGTGCCGAGGGAGGGGGAGCGAGGCGGAGGAGCGGGGATCGGTTCCCCCCCCACCCCTCTTACCAACAGACCCACATGATGCCTGTGCGGGAAGCCGCGCGTCCACCTTCTTTCTGCACCGACGCCGCTGGCTCCTTCGCCTGCTCGCCGCCGCCGTGCCTTCCTTGGGAAGCGTACGTACAAGAGGGAGGGCTGCGCTTTCGCTGCCCTGTCAACGCGAAGAGGGAACGGGGCGCCGCTTTGGAACTCGAGCGCTGGGTCCGTCGGGGTTTCTCTCCCCGAGGCGGAGCGCGAGCCCGGCCTGGAGGAAAAGGCGCCGTCAAAGCAGCCCCGCGGAAGGGAAGGCAGATAAGGTTAACGCCCGGCCGCGGATTGAAATTTAGGAGCGGAGCCGGGCTTCCTTTTCCTCGCCCGCGGGATTCCCCACCCCCCACCCCTCAGTCCCGCGGGAGCAAAGGTCTCTCTGGGCGCAGCGCTCCGGATCTTTTGGGGGCAACTTCGACAAGCACCCGCTCTGCTGGCGGGCAATAAGAAGAGGTTGCTTTGGACGCCGAAGGAAGTTCGTCGTCCCAGTGCTGCCCTCCAGAGAGTGCGGGCGGGCTTGCAGCTTGTGCTTGCTCTACGCCAGCTTTAGCCTCTCTCCCCCATCTCCTGCCCTAAGCAATTTCCATCTCGATGCGAGCACAGCCCGAGGCAGCTCGTTGCAATAGCGAAGGAGATGGGGGACGGCGACGACGCTCCAATCGAGAAACGCTCCGAGGCCTAACGGGGCCGATTCATACTGCCCTCAGTTGCTGCATAGGCATGCGCAACAGGCCCTTTACCTAGCATCCTCCTTTAGAGGGGAAAGTTATGTGGCAAGAAAAATAGGTACTCTTGATTAATAGACATTCACTCAAGTGTGAGAAAGAAAGGAGCCGGCTATGTTCACGCAGGAAGGCAGAAGTAGGGCTGACTGATGAGTGTGCGAAGTACCGCATTAAGACAAAAAACAACAACAACCCCAAAATGGGTCATCAAATCAGCCCAGAGTTCTTACTTGAGGAACAACTGATCAGCTCAAATGGTCCTACTTTGAACACATTACATGAAGATCCAGGTTTTTGGAGAAGGCTTATTCTGGGAAGAAATTACAAGAAGGGGATAACTTGACAGAAAGATGAATGGACTCTGTTACAGTGGTAACGAGTACACTGGTGAAACATCTGAAGGACCAGGTTAAGATTAAGGACAGATAGCAGTTTTTTCTTCATAACTGCCTCATAACTGCTTCAAGAGTTTGATATTGTGTGTTCTCTGATTATGCCAGGAACAATTTATGACATTTATCTGCCTACAATTTGGATATTCCTTTCCGATCAAGATAGGGAGAATTAGGCCGACTGTAATCAAAGAAGAAATTCTCAGCACATCTTTCTCTGGTTTCAACACACCCACTATGTATCATAAGGACTGCAAAAGCAGGTATTGATCTTCCTGTAGAAATGGAGTATCATCACAGAATCACAGATGTAAACAGAGTTTTTTAAAATAAATTTTATTGATTTTTACAATTAAAACAGACCAACGACACATACATAAATGTAAGAGAGAAAAAGAAAAGAAGAAGAAAATAGAAAAAAAAGATAGAAAACAATGGATGTAAACAGAGTTTTTATATACTTCTGTTTCCAGAAATGCATTTTTTTTTCTCAATCTATACAGTTAAAAAGCATCCATCCAATGTAACAGAATCAGCTGATAAAGACACAAACCATCTGTATCAACCATATTTCTTTTTCTTTTTTGCTTGTGATCATATGGATCCTTTGCATCCCTTAAAGTCTATAGTTCGTCATGCCAAAAAGTTGTTAATCCAGTTTTTCAATATGAACTAGTCGTCACTATGACTAATATGAAATTCAAACTGGATATTTTTTAAGGAGTCTGTCACATGGGTTGTGAAGTAATTTCCTCAAAACAATCCTGCCTCTCTACTTTTTATTTGCATTTTGCATACCAGTGACCACCATTATTATAGATACAGCACATACACATAAATAGTTGAGATAAAATATGTACCCATCTGAAAGCTGGAAAACTTAGTCCAATATGTGCAGGAATAATAACTAATACTTTCTCAGAGTCCTAGATTATTGTGTCCATTTTTGGAATTCAATAGTGGTCCCCTGACCCAAAATCGACCTGCTTACCTTCTGAGCCCAGACAAGATTGGCTAGGTGTCCTAAAATTTGAGTGTGAGGCAAGGAATATTACTACTGAAAAGGCAGTTGTTACTTTCTTTCATCTGAAAAATAAAGTTGATTTTTTTCTTAAATTAAAACAGCTTCCTAGTTAAATATTTTAAAGCTTTTTGGGGACTTTGGAAGAGCAGTTCTACATGAGCTTCAAATTAATTGATTCTACATCAGTTGAGTAAATAGTGATGTGGTACAGCTCTAGAATATGAAACAGGATATGTGGAGCATAGCAGTTGACATTTTCTTCCGACTAAAAGACCAAATACATGTAAGCAACAGGTATAAATCATTTGCCTGTATAGTAGCTTTTATAGTGATCTACAGGAATATTTCCATAGGCATCTGGTTAGCCACAGTGGGAAATATTGCTGCAGTCTAGCTAGGCCCTTTGATCTAACCCAGCAAGACGTTTTTTGTACATTTCTAAATATAGCTTGTTAGGCACCTGACTGGCTGTGAAAATGGGTCAACAAGCCTTTTTTTACTTTGTAAATCACATTGGCTAGATGGCATGTTAAAATTATGTGAACAATGTAAAATCTGGTCTGGGCACTACTATAATAATGGATAGAGCAACTTGACAAGGAAGTTGCCAATTTTACATTAATTGTAGCTCAGGTTTGCTTTTACTTCCTTCCATTAATGTCAACCAGAATAATAAAAATTATAAAAATAATTCTGCATTCTATAAAGCTTTGGCCAAAATGCTACCAGTATGCAGCCAAAAGGTTCTTGGTATCTCCTATAGATAATGTACCAATATACCTTTACATGGCATGCATACTAGTTCTAAATAGTTCATAAAACTTTACTAATAATTTTTTTAACATAAAGTATACAACATATTTACACAAAAATCTATTGTTTAGATCCAGTGAAATAAATAAGACTTAAGCTTCTAATAATTATTGCTCAGGAATTGCAATAGATGTGTTCTATGTATGGATGAGTCCAAATCAAATAGACAACTCTTCTTGCCAACATGAATGGAAAGAATTAAAAAGTCCATTTTACTTAGAGATTATAATAAAATGACATTTTGCTGTGACTGCCCAGCTTCAATTTCCCTTCATATTCTTATTTCTTGTAAGAATAAACTTTATATAAAATTTCAAATTTTTATTTGAATTTCTGCTATGGGATGAAAATGCAGTGTGTCTGTTAATAGAGGTGGAGGTTTTTTGCATTTTGATATGTATTACAATACTTTATTAATTACATTGTTTTTAAATTTTGGAACACTATATATAGTAACAAAAGCTTCCTTTCACTGTGGTTTTATAAACATGCCTTTGTTTCCAGTGTTCGGTACTCAAGCACAAGAGAGATAATCATTACAACAACCACTTCTTTACAAGTTCTCTGTCCATATCACTGGCCGATCTGTTCTGATGATATAACCAATTTGTAGATATCGTTAGTAACAGGGCTCAGGCCTGTTTTTATTTTTATTTTTGATAAATTGACTTTTTTGAGTAGAGAAAATACACTGCTCAAAAAATAAATAAAGGGAACACTTAAACAACACAATGTAACTCCAAGTCAATCACGCTCCTGTGAAATCAAACTGTCCACTTAGATAGCAACACTGATTGACAATCAATTTCACATGCTGTTGTGCAAATGGAATAGACAACAGATGGAAAGCAGAGGCAGTTAGCAAGACATCCCCAAGAAAGGAGTGGTTCTGCAGGTGGTGACCACAGACCATTTTTCAGTTCCTATTCTTTCTGGCTGATGGTTTGGTCACTTTTGAATGCTGGCGGTGCTTTCACTCTAGTGGTAGCATGAGATTGAGTCTACAACCCACACAAGTGGCTCTGGTAGTGCAGCTCATCCAGGATGGCACATCAATGCGAGCTGTGGCAAGAAGGTTTGCTGTGTCTGTCAGCGTAGTGTCCAGAGCATGGAGGCGCTACCAGGAGACAGGCCAGTACATCGGGAGATGTGGAGGAGGCCGTAGGAGGGCAACAACCCAGCATCAGGACCGCTACCTCTGCTTTTGTGCAAGGAGGGACAGGAGGAACACTGCCACAGTCCTGCAAAATGACCTCCAGCGGGCCACAAATGTGCATGTGGCTGCTCAAACGGTCAGAAACAGACTCTATGAGGGTGGTATGAGGGCCTGACGTCCACAGGTGGGGGTTGTGCTTACAGCCCAACACCATGCAGGATGTTTGGCATTTGCTAGAGAACACCAATTTGCCAAATTGGCAAATTCACCACTGACGCCCTGTGCTCTTCACAGATGAAGGCATGTTCACATAGAGCACATGTGACAGACGTGACAGGGTCTGGAGACACCCTGGAGAACCTTCTTCTGCCTGCAACATCCTCCAGCATGATCGGTTTGTCAGTGGGTCAGTAATGGTATGGGGTGGCATTTCTTTAGGGGGCCGCACAGCCCTCCATGTGCTCGCCAGAGGTAGCCTGACTGTCATTAGTTACTGAGATGAGATCCTCAGACTCCTTCTTGTGAGACCATATGCTGGCCCTGGGTTCCTCCTAATGCAAGACAATACTAGACCTCATGTGGCTGGAGTGTGTCAGCAGTTCCTGCAAGACGAAGGCATTGATGCTATGGACTGTCCCGCCTGTTCCCCAGAGCTGAATCCAATTGAGCACATCTGGGACATCACGTCTCGCTCCATCCACCAACGCCACGTTGCACCACAGACTGTCCAGGAGTTGGGGGATGCTTTAGTCCAGGTGTGGGAGGAGATCCCACAGGAGACCATCCGCCACCTCATCAGGAGCATGCCCAGGCATTGTAGGGAGGTCATACAGGCACGTGGAAGCCACACATACTACTGAGCCTCATTTTGACTTGTTTTAAGGACATTATATCAAAGTTGGATCAGCCTGTAGTGTTTTTTTCCACTTTAATTTTGATTGTAACTCCAAATTCAGACCTCCATGGGTTGTTAAATTTGATTTCCATTGATAATTTTTGTGTGATTTTGTTGTCAGCACATTCAACTATGTAATGAACAACATATTTAATAAGAACATTTCATTCATTCAGATCTAGGATGTCTTATTTTTGTGTTCCCTTTATTTTTTTGAGCAGTGTACATTCTCTCTATTATTAGTGACTGGAAGCCATTTATTTATTTATTTATTTATTTTTATCCCGTCTTTATTATTTTTAAAAATAACTCAAGGCCACAGACATATCCAACACGCCTTTCTTCTCCTATTTTCCCCACAACAACCCTGTGAGGTAAGTTGATCTGAGAGAGAGAGTAACTGACCCAAAGTTACCCAGCTGGCAGAATTTGAACTCACAGTCTTCCTCTTTCTAGCCTGGTGTCTTAACATTACACCACAAATGAAAAATAAAAAAGCGAATTTGTGACTTATAGTTTTGATAATTAGACAAA